GGTGAAGATGCTTTCGATTTTTGCCGGCATGTAGTTGCCCTGGGCCTCGTAGTGGGAAGCATCATGAAGAGGTTTGTGCTGAGGTGTGAGCGATGCTTGCAAACATTCTTTTCCCTGTGAGGACAAACTGCGCGTGAAGCCTCCAAAGATGACGTCCGGCAATAAGATGCTGTATTTCTCATTGCAGGCTCAGTCCCCAGGGTGTAGGGGTTTAGGGGTTTAGGGTTTAGGCGCTTAGGGAGCTAGGACTTCCTTATACGGACATGCTTCATCAGACCTTATTATACAATCCTGTCAAACTCAATACCCCGATCCTCCGAATCCCCTCCGTGCGTTCCTTGCGCCATTATGTGAGCTGCAGTCTAAATTCCTTAAAGCGGGTTAGATGGGGGATTATATAGGGGAGTATTACAAGGCTTGTAAAGGGGGATACTAGGACTTTAGACTTTAGCTCATGTAAGGCCTAAAGGCCACATGTCTCCAGAAGCCGTTCAAACCACCTAAGGGTATGATTTGAGACCCTAAACCCTGAACCCTTAACTTAACCCTGGACCCTAAGACCGGAACCCTAAACCCTGAACCCCAAACCCTGAACTCTTAACCCTGAACCCTAAATCCTGCCGCGTTGCTTTGCAGGCGTTGAAGGCGGCGCTGCCGAAGGCGGTTGTCAAGGCCAGTTGGGGTACGCAGGGTTTAGGGTTTAGGGATAATACTACGTGGATTGTATAGGGATACTACGCGGATTGCAGTATAGGGACTATACAGGTTTAGGATTTCGAGATATTGCGGAGATTTTTAGGGATAATATACCGATTGCAGTATAGGGACGACATAGGAGATTGACCTAATAATGGAAAAGCAAATGGAAGCAGAGACATCGAAAATGCAGTGGAAACTGGACACATGTAACGGCTTCAGGGTTTATATCAAAACCTGCATGACCTTGGTATACTAACGCACCTTAATTCCCACAGTATAAGCTGCTTTGTGTCATGCATATTTTTTAGTGTCAGCCGTAACCATCTCTAATGCCGAACAGGACCTTATCTGTATTCCCCAGAATATACACACAGGGTCTTAAAAATATGAACCCGGTTTCCATTTTATTTTGCATTTTCTGTTCAACTTGATTCTCCAATGTTTTGCGTCGCATACCTGAACCCCTTATACAGCCCTGTATAATCCCTAGATGATTTTATATCATCCCTATATATACCTAGATACCTCTACATACCCCCTTTAAACCCTAAACCCTTAACCCTACCCTGAGCTCTACACCCTGTTTCTTTGGATCATGAGCTCCGGTCCAGGGTATCCCTTCTACCAAGCGCTCGGTCCTCAACAAGAAGGAAACCGGCGACAAGGCGTGAACCCGGAAGTCAGAAGGCACAAAAGCTGAAGAGAAAGGTTAGGGCTTAGGGTTTTAGGGTTTAGGGTTTTAGGGTTTAGGGTTTTAGGGTTTATAGGGTTTAGGGTTTATAGGGTTTAGGGTTTAGGGCTTAGGGTGGCGTATGAGAAATAAGCGCCAATACACCTGAGTCTTTAGACCAACTTAAGGGCCACCTACCTTCATCCCTCCTGTTGAGTGCCCTAATCAAGAAGAAGTCCGAGGGAAAGAAAAAGAAATGGACACCATGACTGCTTAAACTGTGTAGGGCTTATACAGGACATGTTAGCCCAAAAATGGAGAATCAAATGGAAAAGAAGATGCAAAATGAAATGAAAACTGTGTTTATATAGGTGGTTACTTAGGGTTTAATGATTGAGGTTTAGGATTTGACGCTGGTAGTCAGTAGCTTCTGGCTGAGTTGGAGGTATCCTCATGTGCAACCCTGGCACCATTGGATTTGGCATAGGGATGTAACCTCAACTTTGGAGAACCAAATGGAAAAGAACATGGAGAATGAATTCATGGAAACCGGGGGGCTGATAAGGATGCAGAGAATTCAGGGTTTAGGATTTAGGGTGGAGGGTTTCGGATTTAAGGCTCAGGATTTAGGGTTTAGGGTTTAGGGTTCAAGACCCCAAGGTTTAGGATTTGAGGTTTAGGGTTTAGGGTTTTGGATTTAGGGTTGAGGGTTTAGGGTTGAGGGTTTAGGGTTTAGGGTTTAAGGATTCAGGGTTTAGAGTTTAAGGTTTAGGATTCAAGGTTTAGGGCTTGTCGTCCAAGAGTTCCTCAGAAGGTTCCATTCTCAATGTCCCCACAGCCCTCTCACAGGGACCTCAGGACATGATGTCCACTTGTTTTATAATTGATTTTTGTTATTTGGTGTTATATCCCTATATAACCCCTACATTGCCCCTCTAGATCCCTATACAACATTTGAGCCCTGCAGACTTTCTTGATACAGTATATAACCCATCTTAACAACCAAGTTGAAGCAGGTTTCGTACACGCTCCTGGTCGAAGGCTACGGCTTGCGGGAGGCTTCGGAAAGGGTTCCAGTGCAGATGGGCTTAAGTGTTTAGGATTTAGAGTCTAGGGTTTGCGGGGGCTGAACCAGTTTTTCCCCTTTTAACCTCAGGACCTTGAACCCTGTGTATCCTTGAACAACATTCCCCCCAAGCGCGCAGCTCCTCCCTTCAGGTTATGGCAACACCCGGCATCAACCCGAACAAAACCAGCTCCAACCACGTCGTCGAGGTGGAGAAGGCCCCCAACCAGCATCTTCAGGGGCTCTGGTCCCCCTTAAGTAGATAGAAGATGGCAGTTTTATACTACTATTTAGGGCTTATAGGGTTTAGGGTTTAGGGCTTAGGGTTATAGTCCCCTGAAGTAGATAGAATACAGGGTTTGGGGTTTGGGATTACAGTCCCCCTTAAGTAGATAGAATATGGCAGTTTTA